CTGTCTAGTAAAGCACAGAATCCTCTTCATAACTACACAATTGCTCCAGTTTTGTTCCCTTCTGCATACACCTCTTGCACAGCAACCTGCCCAGATAAAAGTAGTAATAATAATAATAATAATAATTTCTCAAAGTTGAAGCATTTTTAAGGGAGGCACAAAAACACAAGTGACTCTCCAAAGATATGAAGCATTATTTGGTTGACAATGTCCTCAAAGATCTGCTGACATAATAAGTGATACTGACGCACAGACTACCATAATAATGGCAATAACATCTCTGGGAATACAAATGTGTATTTTAAATTATACTCTCTGCCACCAGCAAATGGTAAAAGAGCAAAAAAAGTAGCTCGTATTCTCGCAAGAATCTAAACAAAAATACATGGAATGGCTCATAGAAAATGACAAGAATTTCATTTAATTAACACATACCATTTCCAAAGCATTTCTAGAATTGTACTATACAAAACAAAAAACAACAACAAAAAAAAAGCCAAAAACAAAAACAGACACCACAACCTTAAAAACTTATGCAAATTTCACACAGGAAAAAAATATCAGAGTTCACCGAGTGGAAAAGATGAATCAAGATTAACAGAGAAATGCTATTTTTAAAACTCCTAAAAATGTTACAGAGTTAAAAATATAAAGTAAAAATTATTTTTATAGCAGCTGGCAATGTCCATTTAAGGCTGACAATTTCTTGGAGATTATTAGTACTACATATCCTACATATCTCATGCAGCTTTCACTGTTTTGAGTATGGCTTCAAAACTCAGAATTGTTCCCTATTTTTGGCTTAAATCCAAGTTATAATTATAGTGAATGTACTATTTTTTTTGAAAGAATACTGCTGCTTATATTCTTAACATAGTGATTTTGTTGTTTTCATATTGCAAAACTGAAACTAGACTAGAATAAACACTGAGGGAAAAAAATGAAGGCTTAAACCAAGTTTAATATGTAACTCCAACGCACCATCACAAAGCCCAAGAGGCAGGATATGCAATCCTGCATTCCTTATGCACTCGTAATACCTCTTGGCTTCAGTGGAAGTTTTGTTTAAGAAAGCATATAATCAGAACCTATAATTTCATTAATTGCACGCCACAGGCAGTCCATGTGAGGTAAGAATCATGAACCAAACTGGTTGAAAGGATGGTGGAACCCATTAGCCCCACCTGCATCTTTCTGGACCAACTGAGTCTATGCAGCAAAACCATGAATCCTTGTTTTCCCCACTCACCCATACTTCCAGCTCTTCCTCATGACAGACTGCATCCATCATGCAGACAGCAGTGCAGACGTTTCATCCAGGACACAACACAGCTCTCAGGTCTCTGTTAGTGTTCTCCATTACCATCCTTCCCCAGACTCTTGGCAGTACTGAGGATTTCACCCAATGCAGATCCCTACTCTTTTGGGATTTTTATTTTATTCATACTAGGCACAGACAAAATGAATGTTACGTTGCTATTAGTACGAAGTGCTTTGACATATTACATATTTCATTAGATATCCTTTGGGCAATTTAGGAAGTATCATCTAAAACCCCTGTGGACAGACTTGACATTTACAGTATTACTGTACACAAAACTTTTCCATGCATACCATAAACATAAATGACTCTACTGGGTGTGTGTGTTACAGATAGCTTTATGGTATCTCTCAAGATTTATTTATATATGTAGGAAGAAATAGCATGGGAAAAAAACCTCCCGTGCTATAAAGGCCTTTTATTTACTAAAACATGAGAAGAAAGAAAAAAAAAAAAAGAAAAAAACATGCATGGGCACTTGCAAGGTAGCTCTTTTTCTAAATATAAAAACAAATAATCAAATCTTAAAAGAAACCAATTGCAGGATGAAGAATGACAGGTGATGTTACAGTGAGGTGTGAATCTATAGATAGCTCTCCACTGCAAACTGACATTTAGAAGAACACAGCAGATAGTTCTTCAGCTACAAAACCCCCATTACCTCCCCATATAATAAATTGAAAGCTCTAGTCAATTTCTACCTGTGTCACTGAACACAATTCAATTTTTACAACACCTAACTAACTTACAGGTTTGTTTACAACAGGTTTAAAACATGAAGCAGGAACAGAATCTCCAGATTAAAAGTTAAAAATTCGTTCTTAACTATCCTAAATGCTCGCTCTTTGTAAGGAAGCTCCTAATGTGTAAAGGCACACAAAAGAACAAAATAAAAAGCAAACAAATGGAAGGTATAAAAATGAGGGTGACTTAGGGATAAGGAAGATGAAAACAAAGGAAAGGGGAAAAAAGAACAAATCACTTTAAAAAAGAGAGAAAGAAAAGCATGACAATGAAAACAAATGAATCGTTTAAACTATGATGGGAGGAACTGATGAATATTAACTTTTATTATTCCGATTACAAAATACATTTCAGAATTGGATGAAACACATCCTATGTATGTTTTGCCAAGGACATTCTTGGCAATTACAAAAATCAGGAAAATTATAATTCAATCAGTGAGGCATTACTTAAAACCACTTGAAAAAAGAAGATCATTTGAACCAGCAAACAGACTGCATGGGTAAAATTTTAAAGACTCAATATTCTGGAGCAGTGCAGATTGCACTCACACGTTGCAGAGTTCCAATAATGGGGCCATTATAAATACAGCAATTTTTCTTCCTGGATGCATTTTACCAATCTTTCTTCCCATAAAGGAGCAACAAAGCCTCATCATCGTTTTCTATATAAAATAAGGACAGTTCGGGGGGGGGGGGGGGGGGAAGGAAAAAAAAAAAAAAAAGCACCTGTAGAGAAAACTTTTATTTTGCTAAAAACTCTAGTTTAAATTTTTTTAAAAGCTGTACTGTCCACGACAACCAGATCACATCTATAAAGATGGTTGCTGTATTTATCAGGCGCATGTGGGACACTTTACCATGCACCCAGTCTGTGCGCTTGCCTTGAAATGGATGATGCAGTCCTAAAAACGTTATGAATACGTCATTTTGTCTGTTCTACACTGGCAAAACCACAATAGGTCACCTTGACCTCTATCATGTACACTGTTTCACAGAACTGCTGACACCCGAAGAATGGGATTGACTGAAAAAGGCACCAGGCATTCACCATTCCCATTGGAAAAAGCGTGCCCTGCCTTTCCCGCAGTAGCGCTTATTTACATATCGCCGTGATCGCGCTGTGAAGGCGAGCGATGCAGCCTTTCGATTTAACCCGTCAGGCTGCCGAAGCCTTTGCAAATTGCCCGTTGTGCAGTCAGGCTTTCAGAGGACCCAAACCGCCGTGAGCTGGGCATTACCGGGGCGATTCCACCGCCCCTCACCACCAAGTCGCGCTCCGCCGCGCCCGCAGACGGGGTAAAGGCGGCGGCCTTGCACCGGCAGGTGTGCAGGGCAGGAGCCGGCTCCAGCCCGGAACGCGCCGAGCTCAGCTCCGGGCTCACTTCAGCGGCCGTTCCCGCGGAAGCAGGTGCGGCCCCGCCGCGCCCCAGGGCTGCGCGGGAAGGCGCCGCAGCGCATCCCGCCCGGCCCCGCCCCGCCCCGCCCCGCCGGCTGCGGGGGGCGCCTGACGTACCGCGTCGAATGGGGGCGGGGGGACGACTGCAGAGATGGAAAATTTTCGGCTTCTGCATCTCCTGCGCGTGCCCTCGCCGGTCCCCGCCCCTTCCCGGCTTCCACTCCCGCCCCCCATCCCGGCGTCGGTGGGGGCGGTCCAGAACCTTCGGCGGCGGGGACGGTCGGGTGCAGCCGCCGCCCGGCGCCTTCCCGCCCGCTTCCCACCCGCTTCCGCCCCGGCGGGGCAGAGCCCCCGTCCTCCCGCCTGTCTCAGCCCTGGGGAGCCTCGTGTCCCCGTCAGAGCCGCGGGCACTGCAGCGAGCCCAGGAGCAGGGGTGGTGGTCAGGGATTCGGTGTCCCTCGACGCTATGAGCTGCTTTCGTGTCCCGGCTGCTGCCGCTGCCCCGGCACAGCAGGCAGGCTGCCGCCCCTCGCACCCTCCATGGGCCCTCGATGCTGCAGAAGAAGGGGGCCCGGGCGATAACGCAGGGGGGGGTCAAACGACTCGGTGGCAGGGCATCCTCCACACTCGGGGCTGGCAGCACCAGACTGGCGTGGGAGTGGCTGCTGCCGCGAGGACAGGAGCTGGGGAGGCGGCTTTGCAACCCCCTGTCCCTATAGAGACAGCAGCTAAGCCGGGTCCCCGCTACCCTCCTCAAGCTTCCTTCGGAGCTGTGTCTTGCGCCGGGCGTGTGAGGAGTTGCGGGGGACAGTAGAGCCCTGCCGCCCACTTCCATGGAGGGCCGAGCAGCAAAGCTCTCCAAATCTGGAGTGGTTACCTGAGGAAAAGGAAGCAGGATGTTCTGTTTCCCCCTTCCCTTCCCTACAGGGGGTTTATCGTGAATCACATCACTGAGGGGAGTCTGTCGTTCCGGTTCACTTCCCGAAGGAAACGTTCGAGGAGTGTGTTGGCTGCCCTCGGGGTCCAGGCTTGCACGTGCGCTGCCGCAAGTGTTAAAAATAGCGAGTGACGGCAGCGAGGAGCTATGGGTCGGTGGCACCTCGTCCCCTGCCACGCACCCAGCTACTGGGAGACCCCAGCGCCAGAATCCGGGCCGGCGGGGTGGAAAGAGGGACGCAGATCCTGGGTGATCCGGTAGCCACCGGGTGCTGCAGTGACGCTGCGGATGCTACGCTGGGCCGGTAGAAGCGCCTCTCAAGCACCGCAGCGTCCTGGCTCCGCCGTGTAAACCAGGGCCCCAATGTAAACACTGGAAAGCTGCTCGGCTCATGTGCCAGCGTCCGCGCTCCCGACCCCCGCCGGCCGCGCTCCGGTGACCGGCACCCACCCCTCCGTCGGGGACGCCCTCCGCCCCCCGCGCCCCCCCAGCCCCCGCCCGGGCGGCGGCAGGGGGTCAGTCGGGCAGGGCGGGGGGGCGGCGCGGCAGCGGGCGGGCGCCGCGCCCCTTGCAGTGACGCGCCCACATTCCTGCCTGAAGAGCGGCGGCGCCCGGAGGGGGCCGTCAGACCGGGAGCGACGCCGGAGCGACACAGAGGCGATATTTTCTTTCCTTTTGATACCTCTGACTTTTTTACGTGATTTTTTTTTTTCCCTACCTTTATTTATCTAGGGGCTTGTTTTCTCTGACATTTCATAGTTAAGGGCATTTTTTCCCTTGCAAGAAGTAGCAGCGGAGACAGGAGAATCTCGTTATTCCGAGGCTCCGGGAGAAACCTTCGCTTTCAGGCTCGCGCGTAGAAGGTACGGCAGGGGCTGGCTGTTACCGGGCCGCCAGGAGGAACGGGGCGACTTTTCGGATGGAGCGCGGCTCGTCCTTCGCGCCTTTGTCCGGCGGCAGCGCTCCGGCTTGTCGCCAAGAGCCTGGCGGGCTCCGCCGAGACGCGCGTAGGGACGCGCCGCCGCCGCATCCCGAAAAGGTGGCAAACCCGCAAAGCGACTGCGGCGCGACGCAGTCCCGCCACCGGTTTGCGTTTTTCCATTGAAAAGGCCGGGACGCGCGGTGTCGCCGGCGGGGAGGAGGGAGGTAAACACAGAGAAGGGCAGCCGCGGGGCGGGAGGGTCCGGTAGCCGATGTGACAATCGCCCATCGGTGTTGCATCAGTCTGCTCTCCGCTATCGGGGTGGAGAGGCGGAGGGGGGGGCGGGGGAGGAGTGCGGCGTGGCGGTGCCG